CAGTTGGACGGAAATTATCCATGCTTGGTGTCTACCTCGGTTGACTGTTTTTGGAAAGTGTCAGCCAAAATAATTTGGCTTTTTCCAAGAACAAGGCTAGGGGAAAATATGTTGTTTTGCAATGCTAAAATTCTGGTGACCTTTTCTTTGAGAAGCTCTAGCCCTGCTTTGGAGCAGGGACTTTGTGTCAAGGATGTACCTTTTGCTGTTCCTGTGAAAATCCATCATTTTTTTGGCTAAGTTAAGACTTTGGGGGGGGGGGGGGGAATTGTAGTTCACACATGCTTAGTAAAGCACCCTTCCTTTCTGAGCCTGAGTTTCACCATTTATCTGCTGTCAGCAAATATCTGTAAAACCCACTGACAAAGTGTGCCACCTCCCTCTAGTGCTGGTCTACATAGAGGATAACAATCTATTATTGCCATCAGTTTCTCTCTTAGCTCAAGTGGCAAAGGTCTGTGGCAGCATTTCTAGAGGTTCCAACTCTGCTGATGAACAATGGATGTGTGTGTGTGTTAATGTGATGCTACATGATGGAATCTGTTTAAACAATTTACTTTATTAAAATCCTAGGAAATTAAATACCAAAAAATTACATTAAAAGAACATTATGATTGCAAAGGCAAACACGCAAGCACTTAAAAGTTAGGGAATACCAGAATTAAGGTTGCCTGTGTAACTTTAATTCACTCCTCTTGCGCATAGATAGTATGATGCAGTCTTTAATTACATGATGGCTTACTATTTTTTTCCAGCACCCCACCTTAATCAGTGCACAAGATGGACCTGCTCTAGAGGTGAATCATGGTTGTGTAGTGAATAGAGCTGTGCAGGAACTGGAATTTCCATCCCATGGAAAAGTCACATTTATTAAATGGATTTGAGTCTGATTTAGAACGAAATGTCAGAAATGAGAAATTTTCTACAGAACAGAAACTTTTTTGAAAAATTCAGTTTAAGAAAAAACAGAATTTTTAAAAAAAAAATCTCTGGACCAGCTAACCACCCGGCTCCCTGGCAAGCTGGCTGAAGAGCCCGGCAATCTCGGGAGCTAGCCACCTGGGGATGTGGCTGCCTTGCTTCCTGGGGAAGCCAGATTGCTTGGAAAGCTGAGTAGCCTGGCATCCTGCTCACTGGGGAGCTTGCCAGGTGGGCACTCTGGGAAGCCTTGAATGTCTGCTGGGAGCATGGGGAGCTGTCTTATTTTTTGAAGAAGTTTGTAATGAATGAGGGAAAAGATTTCATTTCCTGCAAGGATGGTCTCATAGTTAAGTTTGTGAAATGCCACCCTGGAAGATTGGATTCTATCCCTACCTCTGCCACAGAGTTCTTGTGTGGCACTGGGCAAGTCACTTAAATCAGACTTTTTACATGTGGTTGCCAGTTGTGTGTGCCTCACTTTCTGGATGCCCAACTTGAGACCATAGATTCTGATTTGCAGAAGTGCTGACCACTCACAGGGCTTATCTACACGGGCAATTTACAGCGCTGCAACTTTCTCACTCGGGGGTGTGAAAAAACACCCCCCTGAGTGCAGCAAGTTTCAGCGCTGTAAAGCACCAGTGTAAACCGTGCACCAGTGCTGGGAGCCGCGCCTCTTGTGGAGGTAGGTTTTTCAGAGTGCTGGGAGAGCTCTCTCTCAGCACTCTGCTGTGACTATGCAAGCCACGTTAAAGTGCTACCGGTGTACACTAGCCCACAGCTGCAATGAAGTACTCTGCAAAATCTGATCCGAGGCTTCTCAAATTGGGCACCCAAAATTAGTAGTCACTTTTGACCTTAATCTCTCTGTGCCTTAATTCCTCATCTGTAAAATGGGAATAATACCACCCCCATAGCCATACCTGGTGGGTGTTGTGAAAATAAATTCATTAATGCTTTTGAAGCACTCCGATACTATAATGAAGAGCACCATAGCAAAAGCCCATGAGGAAATCAAGAATTCTGTCTTCGGAGTAGGGTTTGAACTGTGTGGGGCCACACATTGAATGAGGAGAAAACAAAATTATTGAAAACGTGCTCATTGAGAGCATGGTCCATCCTGTGCACTGAATGAGGCAGGAGTCCTGTGAGGGGGAAAAATAGTATTCAATAAAATAATTCAAGACTGTATAGTACTGTATACACACAAGGGGGCGAATTAAAGTCACACAGGCCCAGCCCTGAAAATTATTATGGTGGGCAGGTTTGGTTGTTGACTAGTAAACTGTGAGTTTTCCGTTTGTTTCCAAGAGTGGTTTGACTTTCTGTGCTTGTCCTATTTTAATCCTATCGTTTTTCACTTACATTTTATGTGCAGCAAGAGTGAAATTTTGAAAGGAGAATATAAGTTGCTTACCATCCACTTTTAGATTTTTTTATCCTTCTAATTTGGTTCTCAGTCTTCCAGTTTTTCAGCTGTCTGATTTAGTTATCCGAAATGTAGTTCGCCTTTCATCCCTGAAACACATTCTTGCACTTCCTTATAGTGCTCATTTATTTCTTATGTGTCTGTTTTGGTTTCCATATTGTCAATCTTTGAGTCCCAAGCAGTTATTATATTAGTGGTAACTTGTGCTACAACTTCCCAGGCCATATTGGAGGATAAATTATTTGTCTTCAGTGATCTCTAGCACAGTTTTGTTTTTTGTTTTTTGTTTTTTTTTTATACCTCATCTCTTTTGGATTTTATATGCATCAATGTAATCCAGCGGTTCTCAAACTGTGAGTCGGGACCCCAAAGTGGGTCGCGACTTCATTTTAGTGGAGTTGCCAGGGCTGGCATGGGGCCGAGGGCTGAAGCTGAACCCTGAGTCCTGCCTCCCAGGGCCAAAGCTGAAGTCCCACCGCCTGGGGCTTTGGCTTCAGGCCTGGGCGGGGCTCAGGTTACAGGCCCCCCCAACCAGGGATGAAGCCCTGGGGCTTCAGCTTTGGCTTTTTCACCCAGGATGGCAGGGCTTTGGCTTTGCTGCCCCATCTGGGGCGGCGGGGCTCAGGCAGGCTCAGGCTTCGGTCCCCCTTCCTGGGGTCGTGTAGTAATTTTTGTTGTGAGAAGGGGGGTCGCAGTGCAATGAAGTTTGAGAATCCTTGATGTAATCTATTAACTGGTATTTTGTGTTACTTGTGTAATTTGATGTACTAACAGGCACAGCAAGAAGGAGGTAGTAATGGGTGGAGAAAATTAGATAAAATATCTGGCCAACACATTCAGAGCTTAAAAAGTATTTGTTTCATTTCATATGATAGATGAAAATATATGCTTGGAAACAATATTATGTGATGGTAGATTATTGTTTTAAGACTCCTGCCAGAGGAGGGAAGAAAACTATTTAGTAGGTACCATGTCTTTAAGAAAGAAAAAAAAATATTCTTGACAACCTTGATAAGGTCTGTTCTATGGCTTCTCTTATCTGACTCTGGTGCTCCCTCTGGGGAGGGGGATAGGAAGGGACATGGCAGGTCTCTCTCCCCCATTACATTGGCTACTGCTAGCTTGGGTGTCCTTGTTAGCCCTTTAGAAAATGAAAGAAACACTAGTTTTCTAAAATTTTTGATGTATAATTTGATATGGTCTTATGTTTTGGGTAATGTCCCACTTATGTTGGTGTCTCTTTAGCATGTTCATGTAGTTTGCATAATGTGGGTATTGTTAGGTAGGGGCGTTTGTGTATATTACACAAGTCCTTAATAGTGTTGACAAGCTGTTGCTGCAAGGTTTATAATGTAAATTGTTAACTCATTATTTTGTTTAATTTTTTTTTGATAGGACTACAGAAAAAATGTGAAATTAGTTTGGGTTCATTTATAGAATCCACAGGGCTCTTACTATTTATCAGAGGCTAGTATAAAAGATATGTGTGAGGGAAAGGAGGGAGTACTAGTGAGTTTGGGGACAACATCCTGATGAGAAGCTCAGCTTACAGGATAGGGAAGGCACAGGAATTCCAACCAGCCTTATAGATACTTCTCATCTTTCATCTCAGCCTCTCATGTCTGAGAAACTCAAAGCTTTCATTCCCATAATTGTCTAGCTGCTAGAAGGAAGAGGGATCAATTTCTCTTCTTCTCAAGAGCTTCCTGGGAGAGTGGCAGGGGGAGGGGAGAAGAGTAGTAAATCCTCCCTGCAAGGGAGTTAAGGAGGGTTTTAGCTACTTTCCCTACCCTTCTGGTTGCCACACTAGGAAAGTGGCTTCCTATACTGCCCCTCCTTTGTTCTTTTTGGTAGTCCTTCTCTCCTACAGATTACTCTAGTACTACCTTCTGGTACAACTCATTTTCTTCCCCAGCAGGAGAATGAAATTCAAAATTATAAACAAGGTTCACTGCTGCCTACACAGAGCTGAATAGCAGCTTTGAAACTGGCCAAGCTTGTCAATTTCATTTGGCTTCTGCTTGGGAAAGCTAGGGGCAGTGACAAACTGTAGACTCAAAAATTGAGCTCTGCAACCGTTCACATTTGGAAGGATGTCACAACCATAAGGGGTAGAGACTTAATGACAAAAAGACAAAAAAACAAAAATAAACACAACAAAAAACCCTACCCCACCCAACCTTATTCTCTCAAACCAACCCAGCCTTAGGCTCACCTTATTACCAAGGAAAAGCTTACCAACTGCTGAGGGCAAATGAGTTTTCAAGCCTTGATTATTGTATAGTCAAACATTTTATCTCATGTAAATCTTTTTGGAAAGAGATCACTTGCTAATAATTTAGATGCATGGTCAAATGCTTTATTCTGCTTTAGAAAGTCAAACAAAACTTTCCATCATTGCTTGTTCTCTTGATTGACAAACTTTCCATTTCTAATGGAACCAAACCCCTGTAGCTGCAAGAGAGAGCTTGTATATTAGAGAGTGACAAATTCATTTTTCATTTTCAGTGTGTAAATGTCAACTCTTGGTTTGCTGACTTTTGTACACTTTGAGGTTTAGAAGTGGTCAAAAAACCTCTTGTATTCCTATGAAATTAGAAACCTGTTTGAAAAAGATTGAATAAAATCTAACCATCATTTTTCTTTTCAGATATGAGAAATGAGTGTTGGACGCAGAAGACTAAGGCTGCTGGGAATTCTGATGATGGTAAACTTTTTTATTTATGTGATTGTGGAAGTCTCCAAAAGTGGTGGTCAAGAGAAGAATACAAAAGGACAGGTTATAATACCCAGCAGCAAATTCTGGAGGAAATACACTCCTCACAAGGCCTATTGGAACAAACAGCAACAGAAGCTGGAACTCTTGTACAACCCCATTTTGACCTTGCTTTCCAATATGACTGTGGAAGAAACCTTAATTTCTAATACTAGTGTTCTGATTTCCTGTGACCCTGATCCATCAGTAACTTCAGAGGTTAATGACTTTGCAAAGTTGCCAGACAGATTTAAAGACTTCCTGCTTTATTTAAGATGTAGAAATTATTCATTATTAGTGGATCAACCGAACAAGTGCAAACATAAACCTTTCCTGCTGCTGGCTATCAAGTCACTTATACCACATTTTGATAGAAGGCAAGCAATTAGGGAATCTTGGGGTAAAGAAATAAAATCAGGGGATGTAACAGTTGTAAGGGTCTTTTTGTTGGGACAGACCCCTCCAGAAGATAACTTTCCTGACCTTTCAGACATGTTGAAATTTGAGAGTCAAACCCACCAAGACATTCTTTTTTGGAACTACAGAGACACTTTCTTCAACTTGACTCTGAAAGAGGTGCTGTTTCTTAAATGGGTCAGCAGCACGTGTCCAGATGCCCAGTTTATTTTTAAGGGGGATGATGATGTTTTTGTGAATATCCATCAGATCCTGGATTACTTGAAGAGTTTATCAAAGGACAAAGCCAAAGACTTATTTATAGGTGATGTGATCAAAGATGCTGGACCTCATCGAGAAAAAAAATTAAAGTACTACATTCCAGAAAGTGTTTATGAAGGTTCTTATCCTCCATATGCAGGAGGTGGTGGGTTTCTGTACTCTGGTGATCTGGCATTAAGACTGAACAATGCATCTGACCAGGTCCTCCTCTATCCTATTGATGACGTTTATACTGGAATGTGCCTTCAGAAACTTGGGCTTGCTCCGGAAAAACACAAAGGCTTCAAAACATTTGATATTGAAGAGAAACACAGGAATAACATATGTTCCTACACAAACTTAATGTTAGTACATAGCAGAAAACCTCAAGAAATGATTAAGATTTGGACACGCTTGCAGGATCCACACTTAAATTGTTAAATGTTTAAAGTAACATGCATAAGTGTCTTCAATTTATTTTCCAAGATTGGGTCTAATTTCTTCACTGAACCTTTAAAACTCCTCTTTGTTTTCACTTAATGGTTTTTAAAGTTACTTCTCTTAAAAATCATTAGCTAGAAACATTTGTCCAGTACTTCTAAAAGTAAAAATAATACTAGAATAACAAATTTTTGAGAGTATGGCATGAAGACTTAGTCCTAATCTTTCCACTGTCCTAGTGGTTATTATGTTTTAAGATTTCATCTACAAATTTTAAAATAGACTTCAGAAGTTATAACTAAAAATTCTTCATTGATTCATGGTTAGCTATCACCATAATGTTGAAAGCATGGATTGCCCACTTTTCATTGCTAGTGCATCTTATTTTAATTGTGGTGGTAGAAACTGTAAACACTGACTTTTTTTTTCCTGAGAAAACTTGTCTGTGTGAAATAGCATTTGTAACTTAAAAATTCAGAAATTGGGGAAGTCTAATTTTTACACAAAGTAGAAAAAAAAAACTTGAGAAATTACACTAATTATTGAAAGGTTTTTTTGATTTCGTAACTCTTCCTCTATCCTATGCTACTCCTGAACAGTATTCTCTCATTCAAATGTGATCTGCTGTGCAAAATATGTCTGCCTGTATCTGAAAGGATACTAAATCTCTACCTTTTTTTTTTTTTAATGATACTTTATATCTTATAAAATCACAATATAATTTCAAATGGGATAACATTTAAGAGCTGGACCTGTATTGGAGAGGATAGCTTTTATGTTGGACTTTGCAAATAGGCAGATTTTTGTCTTGAATTTCAGTTAAGCTTTACAAATCAAAGTTCTTCTGTCACTCATTTTATTTACATGAAAGGCTGCTCTGGCCAGTCCTTGTTTTCTGTATTGGTGTTAAAAACAATCATCAGGTAGCTTGATTTGATATGGATAACTGAAGTCTGAAATTGCACATCACTCAGGAAAGCTTGGTTTGGATCTCTTCTATAAACTGAGAACAGTGTACATCTTAAACGTTTCAAGTTTTGAAAGTGAGATTTGAAAATTGCATGATGTGTCATACAACATGTTTCCCAAAACTCCAGAAATCTTTTCTTGCCATATTTCCACATGTTGCTTATATGAGAATTTGTTCTAAGTAGTGATCCCTTCTGTGTGTGTGTATATAGGAGTGCCTGTCTATTTATTGTTCAGATTGAAGACCAAAACATTTTCTTAAATATATTTGTGTAACATTTTATTTGTATACATTGTTGTCAGTCAAATATTTAAATAGAGCATGATATTTTAAATCTGTTGATGTAACGTGTTAAATACAGTTAATTGTTTTTGAATTTGAAAAATAAAATTGTGATTTAAGTAGTTCTCATGTGCCTCTTGTATATTCCGTATTTAATACAGAGCTGTAAAACTATCAATCAAACACTTCACTAACAAGCTATATTAAAGAATTTTTTTAAGACTATGATCAGTTAGGAGTTTATTATTCAACATATTCCTGTTTTAATCCTAGAATGCAACAGAGACTGAAGAAAGACAGATGTTGAATGGTAATTCTGTATTAACTTCCTAGGCATTGTAATACAGGTAAGTTAAGATAACACTAAATAGTAAAGAGTAGGAATAATTTTTAATGACTTTTTTTAATGTCCTTTGGAAAAATATCATGGGGTTTGGAAATCAGACCCGTTCATACTAACCTCCATGCTTTTGAGCAGAATGGAAAGGGGATATTGAAAAGAAGCTTGAGATGAATTTAAAGCGTGGCAGTCAGTAGGCAGAACTCTGGGGCTGGGCCAAGGGTCCTAGCATGCCTTAAAGCAGTGGTTCCCAAACGGGTTCGCGAAATGTTACAGGGGATTCTCGGGGGGGAAAAATTCCCTAATGGTGGACAGAGTTGTCCCTAGGGACTCCGGGCAGCATGGGGCCAACAGCCCGGAGCCCCTGGACTTCCAAGAGCTAAGGAGATCAAAGCAAGCATATCTATCACGCTGAGGAGATTTAAACTTCAAGACTCCTTATAAGAAATGGAAAGGGAGGCGGATATTTTTTGTTGTTCTTAAAATTAAATAGGCAGCTAGTATTGTTTTTAAAATCATTATGAAGAACAAGTTTAAGCTTTGTTGTAACATGCGTTGTTTTCCTGGACTGCTCAAGACCTGAATGCTTGTTTAGGAGGAACTCTTTGAGTTGGCTTCTTAGATACCTTCATGCTGTTTCACATCTGATACTCCTTGATGAAACATAAGAGCCTTGTCTTATAATAAGCTTATTCAAAGTGATACAAGCTACAAAAGTGACATCTTGGAAGAGTGTTGCCGTTTTCATAATGTAATAAAAATACTGTAATGATAAATAATAGTGTGTAATAAGCATGTCATAAAAACATATTTTATATTTCCAAGATCACTGCTTTTATAATTTATGTGCAGGTAGAGGAGAAAATCCCTGGAAATATTCATTTTTAGGGGGTTCGTGAGACTTGACATTTTAGTGAAAGGGGTTCACAGGTTGTTAAAGTTTGAGAACCACTGCTTTAAAGTATGGCTAGAGCTGCGTTTCCTCTGCCTGTTGCAAATCCTGCCTCCCTTCCAAAAGAGTTCCCAGGGATCCCCATTTCTTCTTCCTGCTCTGGACAAGCTAGTAGCACACATGTGACCTACTAGCCCTCGGGGATTTTGTGGCATCCCCATAAGGAACTGAAAGAAAACTGAGGTTGGGCAGAGGCCTGGGGGAGGTTAATATCAAATTGGACAGGGCAGGGGTTGACAAAACTGGTGGTTACAAAATGGGAGGAGAGCAGAGAACTAGTGTAGGACAGAGGGGAGGAGAGAACTGGAGAGACTGGCAGAGATCTGGGGAAATATAGATGAGGGGGAGAACTGAGCAGAAGGAGGGCAGACAGTTAAGGAACCCTTGAGTACTGGGGGCAGAAATTGAAGAATGGGAATCTTGGGGAGGGACAGAAATGCAAATGAGAGTGGGGTACAAAGACATAGGGTACATTTGCCCTGCGATAAAAGAACCTTGGCTGGCCCGGGTCAGCTAACTAAGGCTCAAGCTACGGGGTTTTAAAATTGAAGTGTAGATATTTGGAGCCTGGGCTCTGCGACCCACCGCCTCGCATGGTCTCAGTGCCTGGGTCCGACTGTCTACACAGCAATTTTATACCCCTGCAGCCTAAGGCACATGAGTTTTAGTCAGCTGAAGCGGGCCAGCTGCACAGGTCTTTTGTTGCAGTGTAAATGTACCCATAGAGTGGTGTGTGTGTGTGTGTAGAGAATGGAGCATGTTTGTAGGTGAGGATGGGGGTGTGCCTATATATGTGGTGGTAGCTAGTTTGTTTTCTAGACATGGAAGGGCCAGCACCTAGAGAGAAAATGGGGAAGGTTGCCTATCCCCATTAAGGAGATTGCATGCTTCCTCTTCTGTTCTGAGAGAATGTCCCATACTAGGGTTTTTTCCCCCTGTGAAAAGTTTCCCTTCATATTTCTAGGAATTTTGCTTTCTGGAATGGAGTTACAGCACTTAATGGATTTAAGTTATCACCTGATTTCAGCCTCAGGGTGGTGGGAAGGGAAGAATTATAGGAACTTACAGAGAGAACAGCTTGGGACCTCAGGAATAGCGGTGAAAAGATTGGGGACCTTGTGGAAAGAGGGAGGTATGGAAGGAATTTGGAAGACCCAAAGTGATTAGGGAGGGAGGGAGAAAGGAAGAGACTGGGCACTTGGTGGTAGGGAAGAATCGGAAAAAGATGTATTAGAGGCCAGAATAGAATGGAATAGAACAGGGATCGGGGGGAAACAATGCAAATTAAGTGGAACAGAAGAATGGTATATTGGGGGAGAGGGGTGTACCCTGGACATGGGGCCAGGGGCAACATGGAACTGACAACAAAAGATCAGAGACAGGGGAGATGATAAAACAAAAGAACTTCTAAGGTTAGCGAATTTAAATTGTTCAGGCTCCTTATTTTGTTTAATCATAATAGCGGCACTGGTGTGCTGGGTACTTCAAAAACATAAGAAAGCATGCAGTCTAGTATAAAAGGGAAGGGTGATGCAGTTGAGTTGGCATGCAGTGTGTTGGAAGGCTAAATTAAAGGGACATGAGCTGAAGCAAGAACAAGGGTGAGTTGTTACTGGTGGAATGATATAACAAAAACTCTGTAGTGGGGATTTGAAGGAGAGGAGTGAGATTATTTGGTGTAATAGAGGAGGGAGGCTATTGCAGCTATAGAGAGCTGCATGAGAAATGCAAACATTAAAGGTGCATTTTAATTAAAATAAGTAAACTAACTAGAGTGTGTGTGGAGCGAGCCAAGATGAAAGCACAGATTGCACCATGTAGAGTGTGAGGAAGTTTAACCTTGTTGAGGATTCAGAAGGAAATCAGTGATGGGAGCTCAGATCTGGAACAAGTGTGATACATTCAGCATGACTGGCAAGGAAGGTTAGCATTGGCTGCAGCTTAGTGAATAGAACAGAGAAGGGAGAGAGGAGGCGGCATTAGCATTATTTCCCTGGTAGATGTATCAGTCTATGCCAGACTTAGCTTTTAGGGGCTACTTATTTACTTGGGTTTTTTCCCCCTGTGAAAAGTTTCCCTTCACGCTTAATGGATTGGTGGGATGGGAATTTCCATAACACCAAAGGTTCCCCGTAGTCGTCAGTTTCTTGCTGGATACATGGAGGGCCATATTGCGAAGTTATTTAGGCACCAAAAGATGTAGATAAATATGTAGTCAGATGCTGCTTTCTGTTTTGCTGCACAGCACATTGGGTTTTCAGAAAGGATCTGAACTCTAGCCGCCTTCACCTTCAGGATGATCATGCCTCCAATATGAGCAAGATCTCAGTTTTTCCGGCAGCCATCTCAGGGACCCACATCAGCAATTATAGAATTTGCAAGTCAGCTCCATCATCAGGAGATGCATCATGCCTACAAGCAAGGTCAGGTAAGGGGAGGGAAAACAACTTGTTTGCACAGACAGTGACTGATGGGCAGGGGTTCCTTTTATCATGAGGACTTTAACATGAGCACTTGTGTTCTCTGCATCTGCACAGTCCCCCTTTTCCTTCTCTGGGTGATGTAAGTTTCCTTCCGCTGTGTCTGTAGCATCTTGGGGGTTGGAGCCATGAGAGGCAGACCCCCAGGTAGCAGGTGGCTCAAGATGAGGATTAGGGAAGAGGCAGCATGGTGGTGGAGCTTCTGACAGAAGTTGACTTGCAGTTTGAGATTCTGGAGGCTCAGTCATGGTTAACAAGGCCTAGGCTGTGAGAAGAAGACTCACAAACTACTGCTCCCTTTTAGGAGGGAAGGAAGTAGGGACACACTGTGTATGAGCAGCATGGGGGGAGAAGCTGCTACTCTTACTCCTAACAACCCAAAGGGGCTAGCAGCATTTCCTTTGTTGTCTTGCTCTCCTGCAGCTGTGCATGATATTACAGCTGCTATGCAGCTTGACATCAAAGGGAGATTTGTAAGTGTCACGTGAGATATGTGACATTTGGCAAGTCTGTCTAAATCCTTTTGGTTAATCTCAATGTGTGATTTCATTGCTGAAATCTAATTACACTTTTATAGTATATTTGCCTTGGCTAAGACATGTCTAAACAAGTGTTGAACCCTATTTCTAATGAATTCAAACTAAAGTCTAGCAGGATGACAGTGCACTTCCTATGCCAAACTTCTCATCCACTCTGATTTGGCAGAGTTTTTCCTCTCTTTGCACCTTGTATAATCATTTATACTGGCGCAAGACAAGAATCCGGCCATAAACTTATTTCTCAAAAGCTACCTATTTCAGCAATTCCCATTTTGGAGTCTGTGAACTAGGGCTGTTGATTAATCGCAGTTAACTCACGCGATTAACTCAAAAAAGTTAATCATGATTACAAAAATTAGTTGCAATTAATCGCAGTTTTAATTGCACTGTAAAACAGTAGAATACCAATTGAGATGTATTAAATATGTTTGGATATTTTTCTACATTTTCAAATATATTTATTTCAATTATAACACAATACAAAGTGTAGTGCTCACTTTATATTATTATTTTTTATTACAAATATTTGCACTGTAAAAATGATAAAAGAAATAGTATTTTTCAATTCACCTCATACAAATACTGTAGTATAATCCCTTTATCGTGAAAGTGCAACATATAAACGTAGATTTTTTTTTGTTACATAACTGCATTAAAAAACAAAACAATGTCTAACTTTAGAGCCTACATGTCCACTCAGTCCTAATCCTTGTTCAGCCAATCACTAAGAGAAACAAGTTTGTTTGCATTTATAGGAGATAATGCTGTCAGCTTCTTATTTACAATGTCACCTGAAAGTGACAACAGGCATTCA